TGAGAGCGATGATCATATCGATATTCATCCTGCTGTGAATCACAGATTGAAGGTAAAGAAGCGATCTGATCTTAAGACTTTTGAAATTAAGAAACTTTGAAGTGGGTAGAAATGGGTTATTTAAGCTCTCATGGAATGGAACCTGGGAATATAAATTGAACAGTCTATCAAAATGCAATTTGATATTGCATTGAATTCAGATTCGTTTTGTGGTTGTCTTTAGGATATCGATTTCTCTTGTTATGATTTGCAATGTGAATTTGGAAACAATATCGAAACCAAAGGCCACATTTTTGGTTGAATAAAGGAAAAGATGGAGAAGATTTCTTTTGTCACTTGGTATTTAGTTTTGTCTGATGGTTAATCTTCCATAAACGGTTCAGAATCACAACTGTTATACATGGGGTAAACATTCATATTTACTTCAGACTGATGAGTCCTCTTTGGGTATATAGAAGGATGATCTTTTGATGCTGTCAAGTTTGTGCTCATCATTGTAATTAAAAATCTCTGTCCTGTTGAAAATAGATCCTTCTAGTTTTGCTCTATCAAACTTCCTTGCTTTACTAATTATCTGTGACCAAGTGTTTATAAAACAGAGTCTGAATAAAGATTTTTTCTTCTTCCTGTTGTTGTTTTGTGTTCAGGAAGGTGAAACCATAAGAATCAGTGTGAAGCCCAAACCAACGACCAGTGGAACTGGAATGCTCTCAACTGCTCTTTCAGGTAATGGGAAATCTAAACCACTTGCGCTTGCACCACCACCAGGCGGTGCAAAAATCAGGTCTCCTTTACCACCGCCTCCAAACGATTCTGTAACCTCGAGAATAACATCTGATGGTTGTAAGGAATCAACCGAGAATTCAAGACCACGGAATGATTCACTCTCTGATTTCTCTCAGCTCAAGGTTTTTAAAAACCTGTGTTTTCTTAATTACATTTTCAAGCAGCTCATTTGCAGAGCCATGAAGAAGTTGCTCTGTTTCTCTCTGTTCTTAAACTTTGTCCATTATTCTGCAGGGAAATCTTCCTTCAACCAATTCGACAGGAGCTGCGTCGGGATGGGCAGCTTTCTGATCACCGGAGGATACATTTTTTAAGGTCATTGGACCTTTTCCGGCTTCATCTACCTTATGATAGAGACAACGAGACAAATGCCAGAGACACACTAAGACAAGATTGATAAAGAAGAGCTAAGAATTAGTTTGTGTTTCTGGTAAGTTGCTGTTTGTTTCTTGAGAATCGAATATTCCTTGTTGTAATCTTTCCTCTCTTTTTTCTTCCTAAGTTAAAGAAAAATATAGAGAAAGAGAGAGATAATCCTACCTTATTGGATGGATCAAATAGTTTTATAAATTAAATAATACTGATTATTCTATGATTACAAGATTCTTGACCACGAAAGAATTCGATTCCACTTTCCCACAACAACAAAATTGATAAAATGTTTTTCATTTTGGAATTGTAGTAGGTAACATGCTCAACCTATATCCATTGGTTTTACAATTTTGTTCAATTTGAATTTAATATTTTGCTTTTTTTAATAACAAGTTGTTCTAAAATGATTTAAAAATTAAAATACAAATTTGTTTAATCATATAATTTAATCTTACATGAAAATGTTGGTTGGCATAATCTGTTCGTATGGTGTCGTTTTATTCTTCGTCGGTGAGCATCAGTCAGGCACTGACGTGGCATCGTTCTGGTGGTTAAACGTATTACGAATGTTACGAAAATATGCAAATCTAATGGACATAAAAGTGCATGACGTGTTCGAAATCTAGTGGTGAATCGAGTCTACGTTGAACGGAACGTATTTAAAGGACGGCCAGATTTAGACGGAGGAGGGAAAAAAAAGCACCGTGTAATCAAATCACTAA